GGGCGTCGGGGGGCCACGTGATCCCGCGCGGAGGGATGCAGGGCGGCTTCCGGGGACAGAGCCGGGGCAGCAGGCCCAGCGACGCCCGCTTCACTCGGCGCTACTGAGTACTTCGGATCCTTTGTCCTGTCCTGTGACCACAGTATGTTCTGTTAGGAGTTCTCTTAAACCGTGTACAAATAATTTTTTTTATCTGCTGCCATATTGTAGGGGCCACGTGATCCCGCGCGGAGGGATGCAGGGCGGCTTCCGGGGACAGAGCCGGGGCAGCAGGCCCAGCGACGCCCGCTTCACTCGGCGCTACTGAGTACTTCGGATCCTTTGTCCTGTCCTGTGACCACAGTATGTTCTGTTAGGAGTTCTCTTAAACCGTGTACAAATAATTTTTTTTATCTGCTGCCATATTGTAGCTCAATACAATGTGAATGTTTGTTTTCGTTCTTTTGGTTTTTTTGTAATAAAGGTGTTTCCGTTCACATACCCTAGAGTGTCACTTCCTTTCCACCAGTGAGAAGTGGGAGCCCCGGTGCGGGCCCGGCCGGCTGTGACTCAGGCCGCACAAGGATGCGTCCTCCCACAGCCGGTCGGTCGGGGCCCTGGGTCACCACCACATGGCCTAGGAGCAGCCGCCGCTCCCGGACCAGTGTGGCCTTGCAGGGACGCAGGCCTGCCCACCCCCCGACTGCTGCATTTCAACCTTCTGACTTCGTGTGGGCTGCATGGCTTTTCAGTGAGACCCACGTGTGGGTCAGACCACCACGGTGGGGTGGGTGCCTCACAGGGCCCACGGACCGGGCACCGGGCTGTGTGCGGCAGTTTCACCGGGGTGGGATGCGCGGTGTGCTGTGCTGGTGCGGGCCACACGGTGACGAGCTCCGGCCACTCGGGCAGGCCGGGCTCCTTCGGGGTGCTGCCCCTGCCGCTCCGTGTCCTGATCCCTTGGACATCCTGTTTGGTTCTCGGGGACGGCAGCACAGCTCCCCACGCAGTGCAGTGTTGTCAGTGTGTGCTGGGCCCCGCCAGCCCAACCCTCCCTTCCCACAACCCTGCCGGGACACTGACGTCGCTGGGCTCCGGTGGGGCGGAAGTTACCAGAGCATCAGCTGCCAGCACATTCTCCTGGGGTAAAGAGGTGGTGCCTCGGTTCACACCCAGGCACAGGAGTTAGGGGAACAACTTGGCGAGATGCCGGAGGCCCTGCCTGGCCTGAGCGTCCCCTCAGCTGTAACGGACCTGTGGCCCTAAACGCGTGTTTCCAGAGCCGCCTCAGAAACTGCCAGATCCTGGGGCTGCACTCGGGAGGACGAGCAGAGATGGCTTCCGGCCGCAACTCTGGCTGGGCTTGGCCCACTCACCTGCTGGGACTCCGGGCACCAGCAAGGCTGGAGTGTTCAGAAGGACCAGAAACCGCGTGGTAACCTGGCACCGCCTCTGTCCCCTCCTTACCTTAGAATTTGAACACAGCAGTACGTTTGCGTTAAATTGGTTTTGTGTAGCACGGGGGATCGAACCCTGGGCACTCGGAGAGCTTCGACCCAGTCCTTTTGAGATGGGGTCTAAGTCACTAAACCGCTCAAGGCGGGGTTGAGCCTGTGACCCTCCCACCTTGGCCTCCTACAGTGCTGGGATGACAGCATTCACCACCCACCCAGCTAGCAGAACTCTATTTTTGTCAAATATGAAAATGCCAGTCCCCATAGCATGGCCTGAAGACCCTGTCAAGTGCTTTTCTTCCAGTCCTATGCCAGGCTAAATAAATCCCTGCTTGGCCTTGCTTATCCTCCCCCAGGTATCGCAGTCCCACTTCACAGATGGGGAAACTGAGTGCAGACTGGACTTGCTTCAGGCAGGAGCACCGGGTGTCCGAAGCCGTGACTCCCGCCCGTCCCATCACCAGGGTCGCACACACCAGGCGGGGTCGTGGCTGGGCAGCGGAGCCCCGGCCGGGCCTGCACAGTCCAGGTCCCAGTGCCCCCCACACGGTCCCAGCAGCAGGCTTCTCGGCCTCAGGAGTAGTAACGGGTGAGAGGCTTTGTCCTCATTCCGACCCACGGCTCCACGAGGCACAGATGAGCAGGTCTGGGTCCCAGGGCGTCCAGAGGGTGGACCCAGCCCCTGGTTTCAGCACGGCAGGCCCCTCTCCGTGGCCACCGCCCTCCTAACCGCCTGCACTCCAGGCTGCTCCAGCCTGTGGGGCTGAGTCAAGGGCAGCACCGGGGCTCCCCCCAGGATGTGAGGAGGGCACGAGGGGCACAGGCACCCCTAGTGGGGCAGCTGCTCGCTTGGCTGCTGGGCTGTGGTGAGAGGGCATCATCCCTCCCTTCCCACCCTCTTGCCAGCCGAGGCCTTGTTCCCAGGACCACTGCTGCTAGACAGACAGACAGACAGACAGACACACACATGCTCGCACACGGCGTGGTGGGACACAGAGGGGAACAACTTAGCAAGACACCATCCCCGTTTTAACAGGGCTGCCGGGCGTGGTGCAGCAGGGAGCACATGCTTAGCATGAACTCCATCTCCAGCACTGGAAAATAAAATACGGCTGAGACCTGCTCTTCTCCAACCTAGTTCAAGCTGGCAGAACCCCTGCCCACACACAGCAGGAACCCAGGCAGCCACCTTCCACCTCAGCTGGCACCAGAGCCTCAGCACCCAGCAGCCCTGGCCAGCACCTCTGGGGTCACCCGTGCTTACACTGCAGCCTCCATCCCTTCCCACCACCCTCACCTCTGAGATAGCAGAGAACCCTTGACAGCTGTTTTGGGGCAGGGGGTGCCTTACCAGGCCCTCCCCTCTGGGCCGTCCCACCTCTGGCACTGCGTAGACATCACAAGTGCCAACCCCTCCTGCATCCCAAGGCTCAGGACCGGGCTGACTGCCACATTCTGTACCCAGGGACAGTGGTGCCAGCACGGAATGGGCTTTGTTTTGCTTGCAGTTGTGAGAATCAAGCCCAGAGCACACTACCAGTGCTATAACCCCAGGTCTTTGTATTTTTTATTTTGACACAGGGTCTCACAGTCTAAGTGGGAGCAGCACTTGAAAACTTGAACTTGGGATTCTCCTGCCTCAGCCTCCCTGAGTACTGGGATTACAGGTGTGCCACCATGCCCAGCCCGAGCAGGCTCCATGTCTGACCAAGCAAACTATCGCCTTCCAGGGCTGCTAGGCTGGTGTGGGCTGGGTGGGGCATGGGTGGGTTATGTTCCTCAAAGATCCTTTGGGTGCTTACTGGAAACCTGCTCCCACCCCCACAAATGACAAGGATGGAGGGATGGCCGCAGGTGACACAGGATTCCCCTGGGGCTTATAGATGCCCACAGGCTTTCACTGAGGAACTGAGTTCAGAGCCAGCCGTCTGCCGAGCTGCCCAGGCCTCTGCCCCGGCTCCCTCATCTGTAACATGTCAGAGGCCCAGGATGGTGCCATTACCTGGGCCTGCTCCCTGCTTCTGGGCGGCATCCCGGGAAGGTGTCTCGCTTTTCCCAAACCCACCTCCTGCCACCTGCCAGGGGGCAGGAACCACAGACAAGACCACCTTCCCAGGGCTCACAGCCCAGTGAGGGATGCATCAGGCTGCAAGGGTGACAGGGTTGGCGGGGCAGGACTTGTGTCAGGGGCCCTGAGCAGCCCTAAGCTACAGTACCAGCCTGCGGTCTCTGGGAATCCCAGGGGCACAGTGGAAGGAGAGCATGGCCGGGAGAGGGCGGGCAGGACTAGAGAAGGCTCCGTCAGGACACGTAAAGGGCAGGGGTGTGGTCGGTCCCCTAAGTTCCGTGCTCTGAGTCCTGTCCCCAGCTCCACTGGGGGCGGCATTTGCTTTCAAAAGAAAAAGTGAGGCACGGCGCGCACACCTGTCATCCCAGCTACTTGGGAAGCCGAGGCAGGATTGTGAGGTTGAGACCAGCTTGGGCCACCTGGTAACATCCCTTGTCCAAATCAAGAACGCTCTGGGGTTGTACCTCGGTGGTAAGCGCCCTTGGTTTAATTCCTAGTATCACCTAGAAAAGCAAAGTTCAGTGCCAAAGAGGCACCGATTCTGCCACCTCCCCAGGGCCCCCTCCCATCCTGGGCGCAGAGCCCCAAGAACAGGGAAGCCTCGGGTCCGGCTCAAGCTCAGCACCTTTGTGGCCCTTCCTAGGGCTCAGGTGCTGTGCCTGCCCACATCGGGCCCGGGGGGGAGGCCAAAGCCCAACCCTGCCACTCCCCCCAGGGCCAGCAGGAGGGTGGGAAACACTTCTGAAGTCCTTTATTGGGCGGGTGGGGCCCGGAGCTCCCTGGAGGGGGTCCCCGTCCGTCCCTGCAGAGCCCGAGCCTGCTCCTTCCTGCTGCTCTGACCTGCTACTTGGTGGTGCGCTCCTTCACGTACTCCCAGCCCTCCTTGGAGTACTCCAGGGCCATGGTGGGGGCCACCGACAGGGCTGACATCACTTTGATGATGCCTGCTAGGGAGATGCTCCGTGAGGGGCAACCACTTCTGCCAAAGAAACTGAGGCAGAGGTGCGGCAGGGCCCAGCTCGGGCTCACGGATGAGCTCTGAGGGGCCCCAGACGGCCTCCCTCCCGCCCAGAAACGAGGGCGCTCCGTGCCCAGCTCCTCTCCCTGGCCCTCCTCCTCCCCTTCCCCTCCTCCAGGGGGGACAAGGCCAGGAGGCGGGGAGGGAGCCACTGGGCCTACCTGAATTCCAGGACTCCCGGAGGGGAAAGTTAATCTTTGGTGGGGCTGGGAGCTGGGAAGAAAGGAGCGCGGAGGGGCTGGTGACTAGGGAAAGCTCAGCAGCCCCCGCACCCCGAAAGGCGGGGCGAGGGGTGCAGGGTTAGGGACGGGCCTGTGCGGAGCACACCGAACAGGGCTGGAGGCGCCGCGAGGAGCCCCCTGCCCGGCCTCCGGTACCTGAGGGATCTGCAGGCCCGTCTGCTTGCACACGTACTGGCTGAACTGGTACAAGGCCGGCGGAACCACCTCCTCCGCCCGCCGCAGGGCCGCCTCGCCCTTGTCGCTGGGGCCCAGCAGCTCCTGGTCGTGCACCAGGTAGACGGCGCCCCCAGCCACGCTGGCTTTGAAGAGAAACCTGCGGGCGGAGGAGGAGACGGAGCTCAGGGGACACTGCTGCCACCCGTCCTCCTGGAGGTGCCACGCGTGGGCCCAGGGGAAACAGGCACCGTGGGCGCCCGGACGGCCTGAACCCTTTGACACACAGCACTAGGTGTGCACTACGCAAAGCGGGGCCACTTACTTTAGTAAACCGAGGACAGAAAAGGGGCTAGGGGTCAGTCGAGGTCCCGCAGAGAAGGGAGCGTTGAAGCCTTAAGACCACCCCGACCTCCCGAAGACTTCCGCAACCCGCGGGGTCTTTCTCAGTACCCCAGCGCGCTTCCTGTCTGCCCCTGTGCTCGGGGGTACAGTAAGCATCCCCACTTCCCAGACGCGGCCACGGAGGCTCGCAGGGCTCTCGGGCACAGGGAGTCCAGGGACCAGGGCTCGCTGGGATGCGGGAGGCGAGCAACCACCCCAGGAAGGCCCTCTCCGTGAGTCTGTTTCGCTCTGTGTGCCGGAGGAGCTGCCCGGACGCTACGGAGAGCGCAGAGGAGATGGAGACCCAAGCTGAGTGGGTGCCAGCAGGAGGGGCGCCCCTCGGCGACTCGGGGCCCGCTCTGCGCCCCACGCACCTCATCAGCGACCACACGCGGGCCACCATGGTCGCTCGGATCCGTGCGCAAGGACACTCGACTCGCCCGCCGCTTCCGGTCGCGGGGGCGCAGAGGCCTCGGGGAGGTGTAGTCTCTTTGTAGACCGCAAAGGCGTCGGGGAGTGGTAGTATCGCTAGGGCTCAGAGATTCCGCAGCAGCGTGCAATCCCACGCCAAGAGGTCTCTGGGAAATTCTGGGCCACTGCAAAGCTGTCTGGGAAATGAAGTCGGAACAAGCCCAGGTCCGCCAAGCCTTCTGGGAAATGTAGTCCAACTCGGCCCTGGCAAAGTGGGATGTAAGAGGCGTAGGAGTCTAGATCTAAGCCTAAAAGGCACCCTGGGAGATGTCAGAGATCACGAGATCCACCCACGCCAGCACGAGGGATCCAGGCCTCGGACCTAGGAAATGCAAGCCTATTAGTGGGTTGGCACAACGACGCTAAGGCGAGATTGTTCTAGAGATGCGGGCCCTCTGTCACGTGACCCGTCCGGGGGTGGGGCTGCTTTCCGGGGGTGGGGGCCAGAGCCCGGGCTCATGGGCGAAGGAAGGTAAAAGTAATAAACGCGCTGTAAACTGGGCGTGGTGGCGCACGCCCGTAATCCCAGCACTCGGGAGGCTGAGGCAGGAGGATCGCTGTGAGTTTGAGACCAGCCTGGGCTACATAGTGAGTTCCAAGTCAGTCTCAACTACATAGTGAGAGCCTGTCTAAAAAAAAAAAAAAAAAAAAAAAAAAAAAAAAAAAAAAAAAAAAAAAAAAAAATCCAATGCTATGAAATGCTGCCCTATAAACTCAATAAAAAATGCTTCCCCAGTTGGGCTAATCACCGTTTTAAAGTGAGAAAGGCTGTTCCCACCCTGTATGTTGGCCCACACCTGTTACAAGTTTGAGGCTTAATCCTAAGCAGTTTAGCCAGACACACACACACACGTGTGTATGTGTGTGTGTGTGCGCATTTTTAAAATGAAGAGCTGGGGATATAACTCAGTACGCCCTGGGTTTGATCCTCCGTACAGAAGAAAAAAGGTTATTCCAATAAGAACAGCCCCAAATTGAGGCTGTATCTTGGAGCTAAAATTGAAAAGGGGAAGAGAGAAAGAGAAAAAAGAAAAAAAGTAAAAGAAAAACCAAAAGCTGTTTTTTTATTGTAACTTTGATTCCGTTACTTAAGGACCCATCCCTGTGACTTCTTAAATTACCGCACGTGCCACCAGAGGGCACTGTAACACAGCTGCTCCATGAAACCGGTACCCTTGACGGTGGAAGTTTGATTTCATGACCATTACTGTACGTGTGCGTGCGAGTGTGTTGTGGGAGTCGAAACCAAGAACTTCGCACTGGGCTACATCCTCAGCCATGTATATACGCATGCGCGCATGTAGGTATGTATATTTAGAACAGGGTCTCGCTAACGTAAACCTTCCAGCTTGGGCTCAAATTTGGGATCCTCCTGTCTCAATCACCCACAGTGCTGAGATGACAGGTGTGCACCACCACTCCTGCCTTCAGGTATTCATATCTAAAACAGGCTCTGGAAGCTGAAGTAGCTGGCGCAGGGTCAGCGAACACGAGCCGGAGGTGGAACTCAAATTTTTACTCCGCCCTGGGAGAGGCGCCAGAAGCAAGCCCACAGGGTCGGATTCTTGGCTCGGGGCTGAGGCGTACCAACGCGCCTGCTCAGAGCCCACAGATACCTCCCGCCGCCAGAGGGCGCGCGCGACCTTCGTGCCTTTCTGGGCCGCAATTCCGGCAGAGTAGATCTCCCAGAATTCCGCGCGGCGCCGGTCCCTACGCTGTAGCCGCCATTGAAGAACAGCTGGTAAGTGGGTTCTCGCCGCCGGCATCCTCCGCCATCCGGGACCCTGGCCCGGTTGGATGGTTTGGACGATGGCTGAGTACAGCGAGTGAGCCCGCGGAAGCCGGGGCGCGGGGTTCCGGATAGCGGGGACCGAGCCAGAACTCACTTCGTACCCTTTCGCTCCCCGCTTTCCCCAGCCATGGCTCTACGCTACCCCATGGCCGTGGGCCTCAATAAAGGCCACAAGGTGACAAAGAACGTGAGCAAACCGAGGCACAGCCGCCGCCGCGGGGTGAGTATGGGGGTCGGCGAGGGCCTTCCGGGTCGGGTCGAGCCTGCGGGTGAGTGGCCGCCCCGACAGCAGC